GGCAGTCGGATCGCATATGTGTGTACGTATGTATGTATGTACGTATGTACGTATGTACGTATGTACGTATGTACGTATGTACGTATGTACGTATGTACGTATGTACGTATGTACGTACGTACGTACGTAGGTAGGTAGGTAGGTAGGTAGGTATGTATGTATGTATGTATGTATGTACGCACGTATGTATACCTTGTCTCTGTAGCAGTTTGGAGGTTGAGGAGCTAGGCTTCTCAAAATTATGCGTACCTTGTGAGTGACGTCATAGGCAAGAAGTGTGCAGCACTTCGGAGCTGCACGTTGGAAATCAAGACCCCGAAGAACCTGTGCAGCTGCGTTCAATACCAGGGTTTAACAAGGCAGTAAACCATTGGCCCCCAAACCTAAACCCTAAACTAAACCAACCCTAAACCCTGTTTGATAGGTGCTTTGCTGCTGTTTTTTGTTATCTGGCCTTGCGAAGTAAAGTCTCCTCGACCTGTACATAGCACGTGGAGTGCCGCTCATATACGTTGAGCTTCTTTTCAGACTTGACCTCCGAATAATGTAGGCAGCATGTGGAGGTTCTACATGGAGATGGTGATCTTGGCGTCTTTGGATTTGAGATCAACTTCAGGGGGCGTACTGCAAGAGAAGGTTTTATGGTCCATTTTATGGTCATGCTAGCCAACCAGCTCCGTCTTCCTTTTTTCGCGCAAGGCGACGGCCTTACTTTAGAACATACGCTATGCCAAACCTCAATTCCGGCAAGCCTAGAGAGTAGACCCATATCAAATCCCTGACCCTAAACATGCAACTCTACACTAGAAACCTTAAACTTGAATGCGGACATCCCAGCTTTACGGCTGAACTCAACCACAAAGCACAGAGCCCCAGCTTCACCCTTGGTGCCAAATCACAGCCCTTGGCGCCAGGGCCCTCTTCGGGGGACAGCCCCGAGCTCATCCAGGCGAACGGCAAGGTCCGCAAGTTGGAGCAGCTTGGACTGTCCTGCTTCACTAGGTTTAGGGTTTAGTGTTTAGGGTCTAGGGTTTAGAACTAAGGGTTTAGTAGATTTAGGATTTGGGGTTCAGGCTTTAGGGTTTAGTCTTTAGGGTTTAGTCTTTAGGGGTTAGGGTGTAGGGCTTAGCGTTTAGGGTTTAGTGTTTAGGGTTTAGGATTCAGCGTTTAGGGTTTAGGGCTCAGGATTAGGATTAGGGCTGTGTGGGCTACTTGCGTTATGAGGGTCATATCATAAGGGTCTACTAGGGATATAGTATTAGGAATACTAGTGTTATGAGGGGTCAGATTGTAAGGGTTGGGGGTTCGGGGCTGTGGGCTTTGGGTTGGGTTTGGGAGTTTGGTGTTTAGAGGGTTTAGTGGTTGGAGACCGCATCTCCTAGGCAGACGCTGAAGGGCGTCCGGGAGGAGAATGACAAGCTGAAGCAGGCCGTTGATGCAGCCTGAAGGGGTTTAGGCTTTAGGGGGGCCTGCCAGATTCTTTTAGGGATTGTATGGGGCAGTTTGGGGATATATAAGGGTCATTTAGGGTCTATACGGGGCTTAGGGTATTTAGGGATTATATGTGGTTATCTATAGTTTCGGGTTGAGACAGCCCATTATTGATTGAAGCATGCTCAGAATGACGACTTGAAGTCAATCTTCCCTGGTGAATGTTTGATGGTTTGAAATGTTTAAGGTCAGGTAGCTGTGCAGCAAGGGGTGCAGTGCTGCTGTGTGTGACAATGAGTTCCGTTCGGAAACTCTCTGATGCTTTCGTAGCGGCGCTGGGACTTCGAATCCAGGCTGATGCATGCCTGCTCAACTGCCTTCTTGAAACAGGCCTGGTTTCATCGAATCCTGAACCTCCCATTCTGAGCACCCGCAAACTCAAGACCCCCAAAGCGATGCCAGTAGTTGTTCCTCATGTTGCCGTATCGCCTTGGAAGTATCCATGCGACATGCTTCTTGCACGGGCCCATGCAACCAGCCCTGGACGTGCTTTGTAAGGGTAATTCCCCAAAATTTTAAGTGCTTTGTAAGGGTAGCTCCCAACATTTACGTGTTTTGTAAGGGTAGCAAGAAGGGACTATGAAAGACAACCTGGTTTTGACAAGAGTGTTTTCCTACCCAGCTTCACCTAAACCCTAGACGCAAAGAAACCTAGCAACCCAAAGCTCTCAACGAAAGGAGAATGGCGTGCTGAAGGACCAGCTTGAAGAAGCAAAGATCATGCGCAAAGCCCTTGAGCAGGCAGCGGGGGCTAAAGCGGTCAGGGCTTGGCATTTACAGGGTAGGGATTATGGTCTCACGGAGTTGGGATTAGGGTTTGGGGCGTAGGGTAGCTTTCTGATCCCCGACCCTGTAACATGTGAAATGTTGTGACCGCAATTCTTACGGTGCTCTTTTTAACACCGCAAACACCTGAAACTCATCGTTCTGAGAGACCTCACATACACTAACGAGTTACCCATCAAATTGATGGCAGTAGTCATTGTAGCCCGTGAACTCGGCACCTAATCCTGAGACCCTGATCCTTAAACCCTTAAACCCTAAATCCTGACCCCCAAATCCTAAGGCCTAACCCCTTATGCCTGAACCCACAGCCCTAAACCCCAAAGCCGCAAGCTGAGCCCCTAAACCCCTATACTCCAAACCTTAAACTCACAACCCTAAACCCTAGACCTTAAATCCAAAGCCCAAAGCCCTGAGCTCCAAGCACCCCAGACAGGCCATGGAGGAGCTTCGCAAAAAGTTCGAGGCAGGTCCCATCATGGTAAGAACCCTAAATGGTCGCTATTCTCTCTCTCTCTCTCTCTCTCTCTTTCTCCCTCTATATATATATATACATACACGTAGATTTATGGATAGCACGTATTCCTGTATTGTCCCTATATACACATATCTTAAACCTGGCCAAAAGTCCTTTCCCTGTTGAATCCGCGAAGCGCACACTTGGTGCCCACCCCGACAGTGTTCGTGCGACCCAAGCAGTCATGCTGGCAGCTCAAAAGGCTTGTTTCACCAGGTCATACGGTTTCCCTGAGAGCTCTTGCTGGTCAAGATTCGCCAGGGCACAGGGTGTAATTTTCCATCCCACTGTGCGGTGGCAGCATCTGCCTTCACGGGTGTTGACCTTTACAAGGTGGTTTGTCTGAGGAGCTTGGCATAAGCAATTTGAACCGAAGGGAGCTCTGCGTCGTTTCAGATCCCTAAGATGCTGCTAACGACTTGAGCCACAATACTAGTAGTATCTTGTAATATAAGATAATATATTATAGTGTATTTTAGTATATTATGGTATATTATAGTATGTTATAGTATATTGTATATTAGAATATTTGCTGATATGTTATAGTACATTCTTAGCACGTCGGCCTGAAGGACTTCAAGAGGCGTCTTCAGGAGAAGGGCGTGGATGTCAGCCGCATCCTTACATTCTACTTGGGTGCCGTTCGAAATTAGTGCTGTCTAGGGTTATAGCGGTCAGGTACCAAGGCTGTTTTTAGGGGCCTGTTCAGGCGTGTTGCGACTCATGGCTTCCATAGTGAATCCAATGGTTTCAGTGCGAAGTGGATATTCTGGTACAGCTGTCTTTCTGTTCTCCGGTGAACTTCATCTAGGAGTTTGGAGGCTTGAAGAGAACCGTGAGAAAATTTTCGTTTAGGGCGTTGGGTCTGCGGTGGCGCTTTTGGATGATTGGCAAGCCTATTCGGGTTGGTTCATTTTTATAGGTGAATTACCAAAGCTGGCCGTCTCCGCCGTCTTACACAGGCCTTTGTTGTGAAGACCCCCCAAAGGTTGGGATCTTTTTCAATCCCGGTCCCAAAACCCAACCCTCAAACCATACCCGACCATCCACCCAAAATGCCTGAACTCTCAGCATATTAACAAACCGCCCTAAACCCTAAGAAGCTAAATCCTAAATCCCCAAAACCTTCGAGAACATTCGAACAGTCCTTGATGGTGGCCCTGAATCGAGGCATCCTTGACGAAGCTTTGGCAGAAGCTGGCAACTGGGCTGCACTAAAGACAACTTCGAGAATTTCGGAGTCGCGGTTGAGGGTTTAGGGCTTGCGGTTTGAGCTTGGGGGGTTAAGGCGGCGGCTTAGGAATTCATTTTAGGGCTCAGGGTTTAGGGTTCAGGGTCCAGGGTCCAGGGTTTGGGGCCGTAGGTTTGTTTGGGGAGTCTCAAACCAAGTTGTATAATCCTCGCTGAGCCCACATTGAACGATCTTGGATTCTGGGCCTGTGTTTGCGTGCTGTGTTTAGAAGCCCAGAGCTGAGCTCGTCAAAGTTTGTCTAAATGAGGGTTTTATAGGGGGTATATAGGGATAATGGAAAAGAAAATGGAAACTACTATAATGGGTTATTTAGGGTTTAGGGTTTAGGGGTTTAGGATCTAAACTCCTTAAAGGGGGATTATATAAGGGATCATACAGCGGACTACTCCAGGGGTTATTAAGGGGATAGTAGGAGTCTAGACT